CTTTTTTTTCAATATTCTTATAGAGAGTGACAGAACACATACAACAACCTCTTAATAACCATACCATTCCCTTCATTCAAAATTTCCTAAGGATTAGGACAACGCCACTACAGCGAAAACCATTGTTTAGTAACATTTGTATAGGCAGCATTCAATGGTTAGTCACATCCGTATACGCAGTTTCAATGTATAATACTGAAAGTTTTTTTGTTAATATCTCGGAAACTAATGATTGGCTGCAACTTATATTTTATATTTGGGGTCCATCCACCCTCCTACTCCTTCCTTCAAATTTTGTGTCGCTCGACGACCGAGGCCTTTCGGAACCTTATCTTTCTTCTTTCAAATTGAACGGCTTAAAATCGCGGGAACTTTCAGGATGACCTAATGTAACCACACCTCGAGCATGTGTATGTACGTGTGTGCATATAGGGTGTAATTTCTCATTTTTCCATTTTGTATTTTAAATTACATGTAATGTCACGAAAAGAGACAAACCTAGTTGGAGAGAGTCATAACATCAACTCCTTTGTATAATGTCCCCTTTTGCATTGACACGATTTTTGACATTGATACAATAATATTTATGTCCTCCGTTCAACTTGAGTATTGGTATTTTGGTATTGGCCAATTGATAATTTAATAAGTCTAACCTAAAATTCTAATCACTATCTCTAAAATATACCATATGTACTACATATGTGTGTGTTGTAAATCCAAACATCAAAGTTTAATCAAAATCTTCCCTTATTCTAATCAAAAAATGTACAGATGTATTTTAATATTTTAATCCATTCGAAACCAGGGTTTTATCGTAAGACAATCCCTAGAAATCAGAGTTTTTTTCTGTTTATATTGAAAAATAAAATAAGTGACAAGATTTGAAGATTTGGTAATTATTTAGTCTTCTCACGGATTTCGATGATTTTGAAATATGTTATAAAGCTCAGCATTTTGAACAATTTTTTCCTATACTCTTAGTTTTTGAGATATTCACGAAACACTGTCCTTACCAATACAACGAATTCTACCTATAATTGTGTCTGTGGCAGCGTATGCATCACTTTGGTGCCGGCCGCCTTACGGCGATCGGATAAAATGACAGTTAATCCAAACAAAAGATAAGACGGCCGAGCGGCGGTTATTGTATATGTATACATATATACGAAAAAATTATTCAAAATGTTGAATTTTACAACATATTTCAAAATCATCGAAATCGGTGAGAAGACTAAATAATTACCAAACATTTTTTACTTTAACTTGAAACTAATATCAATTTTAATTTTTGCACACTTTTCTTTGTTACTTTACTTTGATACAATGTTATGTTTCCGATAGCTTTTTGAGTATTGATTGATAATATAAATTTGTTTTCAAGACACATCTGATGTGTCATTGGTTATTTTAGATAGTTGTTGAATGATCATCGGCTTCGAATGGGTTAAACAAAGCATGGGTCCACTAAGATCCTTCTAACAGCACAAAGGGGCCACAAAAAGAGTAGGACATAACAATGTTATTTACACATGCTTATATTCGTGATTTTTAAATTCAAACTTACCCGGCATTTAAAAGTTCTTGTTTGGCTTTGAGAAGCCCTTGTCCAGGTGTAACATCACCAATACCAATAGAAAACCCTCTATTCATAAGAAAGAAACTTGCCATTCTTGCTAGTCGCCACATGGCTATTGTTGCAATGTCTTCACCCCAATCACGTAGTAAAATGTAAAATATATTTTGTTTCGAACCCGAACCTAAAGTCGATTTGTCCATTGACCCAGCTAATAATTCTGAATTTCGGATAATAACATCTGTAATATATTACATTCATTATCATTCTATTATTTTTAAATATAAACAAACAATTTATACGTACAAGAATCATTCATGCATAATTCTTCATTAGTAGTGTAAGCTCTTCCTTTAGTTTTTAAATTAGCTCTAATATTGCAAGCATGATTAGGTTTTAAAATTAAACTAAAGATTTGTTTTCCTGTCCATAACATAATGGGTTTTAAAATAGCTGGTTTAGGCAGGTTTATAGACATTGTAATATCAGGCCCAGCTAGAAGACAACCAGCCAATTGACTTGCTTGGGCTTTATTTAAAAACATATCTTTTTGAGTCAAAAGATATCCACCAGTAATAAAATCTTGTGTTGCTGCTATCAATAATTCTCCATTACGAGGTGTAACTAAATTTGATTTATTCTAAACATAGGTAAACGAAAATGTATAATAATATCGCAATTTGCATGTTTATATATTATACAGGGTATCCCATTATAGTATTTCCATGTGATTACTTCCCAAATTATTTATTATTCAGAAATATATTTCAGATGAAACATTACTTCAAAAGGAATACCCTATAATGAGTACAATATTTTTCTAGGTGAAGACACTTCCGAGATTTTAGAATAATGTTTGTGTTTTAAGATGAAACTGCATTTTTTTTTTTTTTAAGCTAAACCAGTAGCCCACTTCGAGATGAATTCATTAATGCAGGGGACATGTGGGTAATGAAGAGGAGGTAGAAGTGTCATTCAGGGACAAAATTAACGTATGTATTGACGTTCTAGGTCGTTCTTTTGAATACAGAAGATAATCTGGTGTCCGAGTGGATGACAGGTCTAGTTTAAAAAGAATATACAGTGCCACCAACCCTGTCCACTTTAAATATCTCTTTAAATATATTTCAAATAGTAAGCGAAAACATACCTTGCAAAAGTTATATAATCACAAAAAAGACAACATGGTGGGATTATTTCTTTACAGGTGGAGATAGAGATTTGGAAGTCAATTTTTTCTTTTTTAAATATAATGTCAAGAAAAGTTTGAATTAATTTATAACTGCTCTTGAGCTCATACACAAATGTTACATGTCTTGTAACTTTTGGTAAAGGCTAATAAGATATGGATGAAATTTACGACGAACGAGAA